AAATGAGGATTTTAGACTAGACTGGCAAGACTGATTTTATACAGAAGGTTTTATGATAATTGGGATTGTGTGTACTGTACCTTTAGAGTCGTTCGGGTTCAGGGTGAATGGACCTTAAAGGTTGATTGACAATTATTAAATTATATTAAATTGTTCGTAATAAACTATATAAAATTATATTAAAGAAATTCTTTACTGTATTTTTTACTGAAAAATTAATAAATGTTGCACTTTGTGTCTCACACAATATATTCTGAACAATTGATTATACTCAGGGGATACACTCACCTAATTTGTAAGGTACCAATGAACCTCCTAACGAACTTACTTTTCATGTAATAATTTATTTCAGTCAAAAATCGTGCGTTTTTAGAAAAGCTCGCATTTTTTGGAAACTGAGGTTGATAGAGGAATTTCGATTAAGGGTGTCCAGGAAAATAAACCGTACAAGAATTACCTAATGAATATTATAGATTAGAGAAAAATTAAAAATTTGTTGGACAGTGTAATTTATCAATAATTAATTCCTTTCAATATTCCTCAATAAGAAATTTTCATTTCCAATCTTCGAAATATTTTCGATTTCTATTTCATTTTCTTTAGGGTTCTAAAAATATTAGAGAAAAAATAAAAATTTGTTGGACAGTGTAATTTTTCAATAATTAGTTCCTTTTAATATTCCTCAATAGGAAATTTTCATTTCCAATCTTCGAAATATTTTCGATTTCAATTTCATTTTCTTTAGGGCTCTAAAAATATTAGAGAAAAAATAAAAATTTGTTGGACAGTGTAATTTTTCAATAATTAGTTCCTTTTAATATTCCTCAATAGGAAATTTTCATTTCCAATCTTCGAAATATTTTCGATTTCAATTTCATTTTCTTTAGGGTTCTAAAAATAGTTTGCGATGATCGATTTTACACGCGAATAACAACGTCGAACCTTGTCCGACTCGTGAATTAATTAACGAGAGATCTAGCCAGTGGTTAGCTACTCGAAGCATTCTCAACCCTAATCCGTGACTCCACTTTCTTTAACCGCGTCGCAGATTTGTATAGTCAGGATATTTCCATGCACTGTCTTTGCACACCTGTGATAGACAATCGATGCATCAATCGTGTGCACGACCTTAGTCATAGTCCGAGCTAAAATTGAACGACGGAGGGTGAAGGTCAGTTCCTTTGCCAAGCAACTGGTCGGACTCCTTTCTGTGAGAGGATCGAACCGTGCTGGCATTCATTGTCTCTACACGCTAACGTTCCAATCGTCTGGAAACTTTTCCTATCCCTAAGTGGCCATATTTAATGGCTCATTACGACGTAACAGTGTGACACAACGCGGTGCTCGAAAGTGGATTATTCGACGGTCAAGAGGCTATCACTATACTTGCCATTATATCATTACGTGTTTCATTCAATCATTGAAAATAATTTAGGATATTTTTGGAGTTCTACGTCGAAGTGTTCCTATATGGAACAATGCGTTAGGTGTACAAGATTTGGGCAAGCAGGGTCTTCTAGAAGCCAAGTTCCAAGTGCTGCATAGTTCATTGCTCAAAATTGCCACAGAGTTAGTTAGTTAGTCAAGGAGATAGTTGTTAATAATGGTCAGTGAGTAGGTAGTCGAGTCAGTCCTTAGTTCGACTGAGAGTACTGGGAGCAATCGTCAGAGTCCGAGCATAGAGTAGTTGGAACTTGTGTGGTCTTCTGCACTATATTTGGCAATACGAAATAAATACAGTGTAGGGGATTGCTGTTATCGACTTGTCACAGGTATCTTCGATGTAGCAGTAGTGATGGAAGGGAAGGAAGAAAAAGAAAGGGATGCGTTTCGTCCTAAGCCTGCTAGTGGACTCATCAGTAAGGCTACCTAGTAGGCCCTGCCTTAGATGGGGATACTATTGTAAAATCTGGAAATTCTATATATAGGAAACGAAGGGTTTTTACTGAGTACTTGCAAGAAAATCCTCGAACCTCTTTCAAGTAGGAATCCATCTATTGTTCAGGGTGAGAACGATGCCACTACAACAGCTTTGACAGAGATTCGCGTCCACCTTGGTCCCTACGATAATATATCCTACAACAGGTATTGAATTTCAATTAACCACTATATATTTATTCCATCCACGTTGAAATTACATAAAAATTGTAGAAATTCTCTGAACTTTGTACATATTAAAACATATTAAATGACATATGACAGTACCAAGTAGAACGACGTAGAAAAGATCAGACAGTGCGAGTAGAATCGATTAACAGGACTCCACTGACAGGACGCGAAGCAAGGGACGTGAATCTAAAATGAGTTATCCCGGAAAATATCGTTCATCCTCCCTGTCATCGGTTCAAAAGGAGCTAACGATCCGAAAGAAGGTGGAAAGCGATATGAACGTAAATTTTCTGCAGACTGTACCGGCGCACGACTCGATGAGGACGAGTGAAATCCGGCTAGTCTGAAACGTAGCTAGCCATAAATTTTAACTTCGTCGAGCGAACTCTCTGGCAGAGTCTCTGCAGACACTCGTGTGGTACGTTGAAAAAGAACGTGACAGTGAAGCGCGTCAGTGGCCGGGAGAAAAACTTTCGCGAACATGCAAAGGGTGTCATGGCACATCCTAGCTATATTTCACTCGTCGCGAACGTATCTTGAATTTGCGAGGAAATCGAAACAATGAAATCACTGGCGTGAGATGCACGAGTTTTGCAAATAGTTTCTTCAAGATGACTTTTTCAATTTTTACCTTCAGATGATTGATTCGAGAAATATGATACGAGGTTGTTGACCTACAGCTTCCATTTTTGCGAGCTCTTTTCTTACGCCTATCAAGGATACAATGGAAGACATGGAGAAAGAAAGATTGGTTTAAATTGGTACTTATTAAGAATTTTATAATGCAACTGGTCATGGAGTTATTAATGACAGTTGTGGGATTTATGATAATAATAATTGTGGGCTTTATAATAACACTGGTTCTAAGCTTGGAGGTAGCAATGGTTCCAAATTTTATCATATCTATCTACAACTAGTTTCGTTTCACAAGTTTTATGAGAACACTGGCTTTACGATGTCGCCTAATTGCAATAACATTGGATAATATTTACAAACGAAGATTGACAGCTGTTAGAGGAATAGAATAGAGAAAAACTGCTTAGTGATGTATAATATTGATCACTTTGCAAGACCTCGATACCTATCAGTCATGTCAACACTTAACCCTAGGATTTCCTAACCCTATACCCAAACTTAATCTAATAAGACAAAGAAACTCTGCACCACCTCTATAGTACCTCTTTCTCCCTCATAATCTCTCCCACGATCTAATGGAAAAGTCACAAAAGAGAGAAGAGAAAATACTTCAGAGTTCTCCAATCCACGCACCAGGTAATACCCAGAAACAGAGGGAAACTTGGACAGTGGACATGAAAAGTTAGCTCAACAGGAACATTGACAGCCAAAGAAGCCAATAACCCTATTGCCAGCTTAACAATGGAAACAATTTCGAAGCTAATTCGTGGTTCAATCGCCGTTGACACTGCTCCATCCGGAGTCATGCTCAGCGTCTCTACGAGTGAAGATTAATAGCAGGTGAGGAGCAACGCCGAAGAAGGAAGTTGACTCGAGTTTCCCTCGATACACCTTGGCCCGGGTTACTCGGTATTTCGCCTGGCAGCTGTTACATCGATTTAAACCAGGCTGATACGTCGACCTCAGAAGCTTCATCATTCGGGGCATTCTGTTAGGAGTTTACCAGCTCGGAATCCCTCGAGCTGTCGTGAGCCTTTGGGTGGACTGAGAGGGTGGCTGATCTAGGGGAAATGAGCCGTGTTTCGTAGATGGAGGAACAAGAGGAAGCGATGAGACCGTGGAGAAGATGAGATCGTTTTCGGATGGAGAAGGTGCAACGTGAGTGGTGTACAGGAGATTGAATTTGGTTTCGGGATGGCATGAATGGGCAAAGATTGTTCGGGGATGAGGCTACCGGGTGTTCTTTCGTTACCCGAGTTTCGGTTCTATCGAAAATTCTTGCAAACTCGAGTTGCTCAATATGGAGGAGCATGTCCTCGACGAATTTTAGTAATTTTGTTCCAGATGAGCATCCTCGATACGATTCTCTAAAACCTGGCGTATTTTTATAATAATAAATTACGCTATAAGATAGCAGTGCAAGAAGTAAAATTCGGTATCATCTGAAGTTACAGAGATCTAACAAACTACGAGTGAAATTATCTTAAACGGCGCTTGACACATGGTTTCACTTGGAAATCATAGATTAGGGTCGTTTATAGGTGGATTGACTTGAGATGGTATTGTGGGATTCTTAATAGAACAGAATAAGCTTATAAATAGAGTGACAGCGGTTGGCTATGAAATAAGAGAGATTCGCTATGAGCATATTTTTTTGATCTTTCTTAAAACTGACTCTTACAACTGGCTTTCGTAAATTGACACTCTAAACTGAAACTAATAGATTGCCTCATGCACCCTCGTTTAAACCTTGCACTCTGTTCTCTGTCATACTCAGGCTTGGCTTCTTGATCGCTTATTTTCCATTCGACCTAGGTGGGCCAGGTCCATCAAACACAGAACTCATTCTCAAACTTTCACTCATTTATCGTATTTGGCTCTGTCATAAATATCCCTTACACTCGATCCTCTTGCACGTGGTCACTTTCGTTCTAAGTCCAAACACTCTGCCATTCCTACATAGATCTACCTAAAGTACCTAGCATAAAGATTCTGTCATCATCCAATGAATGGATTTATCCAACTGAAACGTCAATTACTTCTCAGAACGACGTGTCAAGCACTCTCAAACGCAAACACACCTTAACCTGAAATTCTTAACTACCCCTATCAGGACATGTCTGCATGTACATGACGCCATATCGTTCTCTCCTACGCTTTCTTTTAAACCTAACTCTAAGAACTGCTTTCTATATCTCACCTACCATATCCACCTACTGCTATCTAACTATTGGTTGTTCACTTTCTGTCGACAGGTACATTATCACGTCCCTCTGCGACAGCTGCGAGAGCAGCGACTCGGTCGTGGCAGTGGTGTTCTGGGTAGGCTACTTCAACAGCGCGCTGAACCCTCTCATCTACGCCTACTTCAACCGGGACTTCCGGGCCGCCTTCAGAAAGACCCTGGAGAGCTGTTGCGTGGCGATCGGGCCAGTTCGTGACCTGCGTCAGGCCCACCGGAAGCAGGACCTGGTGCACAGCAACGCGTCTTCGGAGTTGCACGTGAACAATCAGCTGAGAGCCAGCGAGATGACGAACGTGCACATAGAGGCGTGCATTTGAGTGTCAAACCAGGGCTCCTCGAACGTCTGCGTGTCCACGATCTTCTGAATCGAAGAGGATCATCCTCCACTATGATCTTCCTTGGACTTGGAAGCATCGTTCGATCGTCGGAACAACTGACTCGCGTACAGGGCTGCTGGGAGTTAGCTTTTCGACGGTCATGACAGTGGACAGCGGCGTTTCGGTGGCCAATTAACGAGCAGCGCGCGAGGGGCCATCACGAGGAACGCTCTGGTCACCAATTAGGGGTGGAACAGTGCGGAAGGTTTCTTTCGGTCGCCAATTAATGGCTGGGACGCAACGGTCGATGGCGCCAGCCATTTGACCCGTAATTAACATACGTTCTTCGAACCGTTGATCGGCGAGAGGCGCGGGTCTGTCAAGTTTTTAGCGTAAATCTGTGAGATTCAGTGTTTCGTAGTGAGTTTTTGGGGACAAGTCGTGAGTTTCTATGTTACGAGGATTACGAGGCTGCTGAAGAGATTTATACCGTTGGCACCTCGCGGTTCAGGTCTCGGTCCGAGACCTCGAGGCGTGATAGAGGTGCGTGAAGACTGCTAGATTCTCCGCTGTATTTTATTGGTTAGCGATTTAAGGGGGGCTTCAGGGTGTCGTGGATACGGACGAGGTTAGGCGTTTCTATGACAAAGCACAATGTAGAGTACGTAGAATAAATTATTTGATTTATCTAGCTTAGAAATTGTCCAAGCTATTGTCCCTCTTACCGAAAGTAAAGTTCTATCCTGACAAAGCGCCTCTTTTATTTATTTCACGATCTTCTTCGCGAAAATCTGATCTCGGAAACCCGGTGTACCATAACTCTGGCCAAGCATAGTATTCGGTTTCCAAGCTTAATTTTCTCAGCAGCAAAGAGACTAGAATTCTCTCGGTAAAAGAATTTTCGCTGTGAAATTCTATAATGGCATCTAACATCGTAATTTTATCAGTGTACAGGATGGTCTATACAACTGGAACGAATTATACCTCCATTTTGCTCGCAATTAGGAGAAAAGGAAGAAGGAGAATAGGTGCAAAGAGAATTATATCTCCTTCCAGGTCCATTTAACAATTACACGAATCCTCCCATTTGGTATATTCAATTTTCAATATAAATCTTTGTTAAAACATCTCCTCGTTATTCCAGATAAAAGATCATCAGATGAAATTAGTTTATTTAAAATACCTCGCAAACTTGTGTTAATTTTGGCTACATTAACACCTTGACAGACAAAAGCATTGAATCCATCTGAAAAGGGTACGTCTCTGTTTCAATGCGAAAGAATTTAAAGGAATTTTTAAATTGGAAAAATGAAGCTGCGTCGTTGAATTTGCGAAAGAGATTCAGTTCTGAAAATATGAATTCGCCATTCACCTTTCTCTGTTTTCATTTTTCCCCGGATGTTCCGTCTCTACGAACCAGCCGGGACACGTACTTCAAACATATCACAGTCATCTTCGCTGATAAAATTTTCGAACAGCTGCTCCCTTTTCGTTCAATTGCAAAAGCTATCCGACGATGTTCAACTTGGAGGAAACTTCACTGTAAAAATTTCAAGGGGATCGAGATGCTCCGAGACCTGCTCGTCATGCACATGCTACAGGACGTCGTGGAGGGATGCACGCGTACGTTGCAGGTAACGGGTTATTAAAAGAAAAGTTTAATGCCCGAAGGAACGTCCTGAAACAAGGAATTTTCAACGCGGTCAACCTATTTTAAGCCGGCTGCCTGCCTGCCAGTCTTCTATTTCCGACCCGCGTGGCGTTTTATCAAGTCCGTAAATAAGGCTGCTGCCCCCGAGCAGATGGATGATCTGATTTGTGTAATACTTTAAGATTGGCCTGATAACGTCGTCTCCGAATCTGTTCATGCCTCTCTCCATTTTACCCAACGTGGCTTATTAAATTTCCCCTTGCTGGGAAATTCCTCGTTTGCTGATAGATGCAGAATTGATGACTGAATACATAATTATCGATAGATAATGGGAGAAATAGTCTTTCTTGGAAAATGTATATAAAGAGAAAATTCCATTCTCAGGTGGAAGAAAATTAAATTTCAAAAGAGGTATTGATTGCTGAGACTGTGAAAAATATCGCTTACGTTTTCGCGAATTTTTATATATATAATTTTATTGTATTAATTATTTTTACTTTTGGATAAGAGATTCAAAGTATGTCTAGATTTTACGGCGTTTATTTTTATTTCTATTCGATTATATTTTAAGTTCCTATTTTTATTCTAATTAGGAATGTTTGCGAGTAATAGGCTTCTTTCCACCTGTCGTGCAAATTGGGTATTTATTGAAATAATTTCATTAACGAATGGGACGTTCCGTAACCTCGTTCAGATTACATTAATTTCAACTTCGATTTCAATTTCCATTATTCTTCCCGGTTACCAGCCAGTTGCGTTTCATTTTCTGTCGTAATTTACATCTACTTTAAATCTTCCATTTCCCCCGGTATTTCACTTTCATCGGAAATTCAAACAATCTACCTGGTCCACGCGATCTACTCATTTGCCGAATAAAATGGAAAAATAATATTATAATATCTCATTTCAATCTACGATCAGCGAATCCTCAAATTAAATTCCATTTAATCTGGAATAATCTTCATTTCCATCATCCAGTCGTGTTTCCCGTGGAAATCCCGCGTCTACCGACACAACGGGATTCAAATTAGACGAGATGAACTAAAACGAAAACGAAGTGTGCATGGTCGAAGAAATCAAGTGCTTTTGATCAACGTTCATTGAGGAAGAAATTTATTTGGTGGGAAGGAACGAACTCTATCAGTGGCTGATGAATCCGTAAGTCGCTAACGCGAAGTGTTTATTGAAGTCGGTAGAGGGCACGAGGGAGTTAGAGATGATAGCCCGCGCGCGAGGGCTGTGAAAAGGAGCACAGGAGCGATTGTGGTCGGAACGTCGCGTTATAGCATGAAAATTACCTCAAGTGTGAAAGTGCCGTGTGTCTCGGCTCGATGTTGACACGGGGAATTAAAGGATAAACGCGACAGACGCGAAAGGAACGCGGATTACCACCGCAGAGACTGCGAGGGTGAGGCGTGTATTTGAACGAACGCTAAATAACGTTGAACGCGCTGGTCTTTTTCTGACAGAAGAAGACCATTGAAAAGACAGCCAAGTTAGAGAGGTCGCAGGTAGATTATTTCGTGGTCGATCGTGGGTATAAATCGTGGCAGACGTTGTCTAATAATGGTTGCTTTCTGACGGAAGCTCTGTCAGGTATGAAGAATTGGGGAAAAATAGTAGTATAGCGAGGACTTAATTATACAACGAGGAAATTTAATTACACGTTTCATTAAATTAATTTATTATTTAATTAACTCCCGTTTCAAAAGTCCGGCTTTTAGGTGAGGTTTTGAACTCTATATTCTCTGTACACTGTATTCTCAACTGTCAGATCTCTGTTCCGACTATTCACTGCCCCGTGCACGCATATTCTACATCATTTATCCTTGCACATGCACACTCTGTATGCATCTATCTCTTTTATTTAATTAACATTCAACGTTTTCCATTGGGCATCCAACGTTTTCTCGCTTGATTTAGTAAATTGGTCATAACCTGCTTTCAATTATAGAAGATGCTGTTTTCATTTAACTACCAATTAATTGGTCAGTTCGATAGAAACAGGTAGAAATATATAAAATTTCAACAGGTTTAGTGTCGAGTTATATCTCGAAGATATCCAGATACCTCTATATAATGATTTCTGTGGCTGTGTACCTATTATTTGCAACATAACCTCAAAACATTCTCTTTTACTAGTATCCATATATATAACTATATATATAAGTACTCTCTTTTTACTGACAGCAAAGTATTAAAAAGAGTACAAAGTCAAAAAATTTGCAAATCAAAAGTATTTGCACATCTATCACTCTAACCTAACCTCTCTCGTGCCACTCTACTTCCACGTATAAATTAACACGAATACGTATTACAATGAACCTGTTCTAAATTCGTAAGCATAATCAAAAACATCTCATTTTTAAAATATCTCTTTTTATTAATTTGCTATCGATATATTCTTCCAAGATGTCGTAAGTCTGCAAGTTTTGTAACGATCTCACGGTTGATTTCTAGGTTACGGTCCATCCGTATCACGTGTTCTCATAGCGCGCACATTACGATGCTGCGGGAGCGATTATGCTGTCAATTTAGCGCGAGTGCATACACGTGTCGCGATCAAATCCGTGTACATCGTTCCCGTTTCAAAGGGAAGGGGATACAATGTTGCAGAACAGGATCGTTCGAATAATAGAACGTTCGGATAACAGAATGTTTGAACGGTGCAGTATTGGGATAATGGGGGTTTTACTACACGTCGAGGTGGGAGCGAGACTGAAATTGTTTTGGTCTGAACGAGTCAAGCAGAGGGTTCTCTATGGAGACAGTATTGGGTTCGTGGAAAATTTACGGGATTCGAATTGAAAGGGACAACCGATTCCATCAGGGAGAAAGACAGCGCGAAGAGTTACCGCCTGTCACTGGAATTAACTGGTTATTTATGAGGCTAAAGACAATTTGTGCCACTTCTGACTTCGAAGCATGAGAAACGATGAATTTTATATAGACAGAGCTCTTTGTTAATTCTTGCTAAGTTCTTTCGAGTGCACAATAAGTCCTTGATATAAATGATCCATTTACTTTGAATAAGTTATCACTATAGGGGAATGCTAGGGAGAAATTTCTAACTAGGAATTTTTATTTCATTTCAATATTAATTAAAAAATAAATTTTTATCGTGATATTTTTATATTTTTCTTGCAAATTGAATAGAGAAATATTGAAATACATGTGCCTCCATGGTCCTCAATGATGTAATTTAACTATTATTACGTTCTATATAATTATTTAATTAATTGATATTATTTCGTAATTTATTTTATACTTCCTAGGAAAAAGATTAGTCAAATTGTCAAGTATAGAATTTTTAATGATCCGGACCGTGCAATTAAAATATCGTTGATACCTAAATAATAAGAAGAAAAAGTTCCACTAGTGACCTGATTTTCACGTCGCACTATAACCTCAACCTCGCGTCGAAACTAACCTCAAAATCTCGGCTCGCGGAAACTCGTAAAGAGCGATTAAACGTAAAACTGGACGATAAAGTATGTTCCATAACAAATCACGAAACTTTTGATGACTTTGATCGATAAATGAGCGCCGTAGAAAATCGTTAGGGAGCAAAGTTGATAAAAGTTTTTGCACGTTTTCGTGAAAAATGTCTGCCTACATCGAACACGCGATATCTTTGACGGAGCAAGGGAAAAAGGACTATTACCGGACAGGAATTTATACCAGGTCGTGGGGAACGAATGCTTCGATAAATTTTTCACGGAACATCAGTTGTTTCGCCAGCAACATGGTTGCGTTTGCCACAGCCATGCATCATGCAGCATTGTAGACATCTGTGGCGAAAAGGTTGTGTGTACACAACTTCCAACGATTCTTCATGGCTTTCCCACGGAAGGCATGACACGCAAACAGAGACTCAGGTGCTCTTTATCTTCCCTTGCTTTTCGCTTTTCTGTTTTTTAAGGGAGACTTATGCATCTGCTGTTC